AATTTATGAATAAAAAAAAGTTACATTAATTTAAAGTTTTATGCTTAGCGGTTGCATTACTTTTGTGAGCCACTGTAATAAAAGATATATTTGAAGATAAGACTTTGACATATACTGATTATAGTTTTCTTTCATAGCTGTATAAAAATAGAAAATAGTATAAACTTTAATCTATTCTTTTCTTTATTAATTATCTGCTGAATCAAACTCTATACATTCATAGAATTAATCTTATAGTTCTAGATTTTTAAGAAATTATAAAGGTTTACCAGATGAGTTTTATTTTTTCATAATATTTTCTTCTAATAATTATCACTTTCATTTCTGAAGTTTTCCTTATACTGTTGTATGACATTTTAGATAGTTAAATCATTTATTTTACTATGTAATTACTTGTTTTTCTATTTCTATTTGATGTATAAGTTGTTGTTGTATAGAATTTTTATTATAATATTAGCATAGTAATATATTCTACTATTTTTTTGTACACATTTTCTTTTATTAATAGCATTTTATTATACTATTGTATTTGGTAGAATTTGATTTTTTTCAGAATGAATTTGTAGAATTTGTCAAAACTTGAAATCCATATCTTGTTAATAGAATTGAAGTAGCTAGAAAACTTGTGATAGTATCTTTAATTTATTTGTATCTTTTGATCTTATTTTAGTTTACATAATATTTACTTACTCTAACAGTTATTATTTTGGTAGTATTAAATTTGAAAGTTCAATTATTTTCTGATACACTTATATATTATAAAATTCATAATATAAATGTGTTAGATTTTTGTAACAATATTTTTTTCAAATTTTAATTTGTTAAAAATATTTGCATACTTATGAATTATAAAAAATATTCACAAATATATGTAACGAAAAAAAAAGGTTGATATTTTAACAGAAATATTGTATTAAATTACTATTGACATAAAGAAATTTTTTTTTAAATAGAAATCAAGAAAAGTGACAGTTAAAATTATACATCTCTAAGTAAATATTTTATAGGTTTATCAGTAAAGATGAATAATAGCTTTAGAGCTAAAAAAATAAAAGAAATATATACCTTTTCATTATTTTATGAATAAAGTGGGAATCTGTATAATAGATAATTTTTTTAAAAAAAAGATTATCAATTTATTGGTATCAGATTACGAGAGAAAAGGATTCAAACCTTATATTAGCGTCTAAATACATAATTTTTGATTCTTCCTTTAATGATATTTTTATTGAAAAGATATTAAACATCTTATTAAAGAAATTCTCAAAAATTTTTTACATTTTTAATAATTATTATGTGAAAAATTTTTACAGTTTAATATGAAATTAATCAATAATTTAATATTACTATGTAAATTATTGATCAAATAAAAGTAATTAATAAAAAATGTAAAAAAATTTTTTTATTAAAATATTCTTAAAAACTATAATATTATATAGTAAAGCAGTTAGAATTTTTAGCAATTTTTCTTTTAGATTATATTTCAATGTATTTAGAAAAATTATGAATGTGTGATGAAAAAAGGCAAAAAAGTATTAGCAATTTAAATTGCTAACATTTGGTAAAATAATAGATCAAAAGATTTTTTTAATTCTTTTCATCAGCTTAAATTGAACAGATTATGTGATTGAATATATGTACTTTATTATCAGAAGGATTAGAAAGTATTTTATCATATGATCATAGATATCATGTAAAGTATTTTATTCAAATAAATCAAAAATGTTTATATTGCTATAAATATCTTTGTGATGATATCAAATATTATAAAATATTTCAGAATTTATTAAGTAAGGTATTTAATGATAATATTAGTGAATATATTAGTGAAGATTTTGAAAACTAAGCAGAACTACAGGATGGTAATGTTGATAAATTAGTTTCTATAAATAAAAATATAAATAGAAAATTAGAGAAGGTATTAGAATCATTTATATTATATCAGTAATATAAAATTGATTAAAGTTAATTGATATTTATTTTGTTTAAATTCACTTAAATTTTACTTTAAAAATATTTATTTATTTTATTTAATATTTTTAATATTTATTAGTTATAAAAATGGTACAAAGTCAAAGATATGTTCTTTAATAATTAAATTTAACCTTATATGTGAATAAAATGTTTAATAGACAAATATTAAATACTTATGATATAATTCATCATGTTTATTTATTTTATTTGTTTATTTAATATTTAATTTAATAGTTAAAATTAACATTTGTTATTGAATCATTTTTTTTTGATTAACTAATAAAAATAAAAATAATTATTTATTGAATAATGAATAATATAAAATTATAACTTTAAATGTATTGTTACAATTTTTTGTAGAAATATATCATATATACGTTATGGTACATGCTTTTTTAGTATTAAATTTACTGTAATTATATTACGAATATATACTATGAAATTACTGTATTAATAAAAGTATATTATACTCAAAGAAATATATTAATCAATCAATTATTAAATGCTAACTAATGATAAATTGATTGAATAATTTAAATTCTAAATAAATTTTAAATAAATGCAAAGTTTAAGAATAGATTATTATGTAGAATTTTTAATTTATACAAAATGATAATTTACATTATATGATATAATCAAAAAATAATCCAGCAAAATAATCGACATTTATGTGATAAATAAGAAAACCTGCTATACTGTGAGATACTGATAACATACAGTTAACTATCATGCTCAACTTTATACCTATAGCACTGACCACATTTATATATAAGTTGCGTCACAAACCTTACATAACATTTTGTTTAAGCAACAATAAAAACTGATTTTTTAAACATGTATGTTTAATCAAATAAGTATTGCAAGTAACTTATTCTTGAGTATTAATAATAAAATAACACCTTTTTCTTTAGCATCAAGTTTTTTATTAATTTTGTATCAACAGAAACACGTGTTACATATTACAAAATAAACTAATTTTGAAAACTAATAGCTACAGTTTCTTTACCTAAACTCTCTATCTTAAATGCATCAAAATCTTCAGAGCATGATACATGTATAAAATCCTTTTGCAATTTTAGAACCTTTTTTACTTCACTACGAATATCAATAATAGCTATACTTCTTTGCATATTTTATAATTTCTTTATATTCTCCTGTTGAAGGAATAAATCTTGCTTTGTGCTCAGCCATATCATCACCATCTCTCAAGAGCTCTATTGCCCAATCCAATTTGTCTACATAAAAATCTATTTTACCATCACATCCAAAAACTGAACCCACATCACATGACAAAAAATGATCCTTTCCCAATACCTGTGTACCGATTCTATAAAATTCTTTCTGCCACGATTGTTCTAAAATTCTTCCATCAGATCCAAATCCAAGCGTTTCTCTTAAAAATTTTCCACTTAGTTCATTACACATTGCTGTAAAAATCTTTATTATAAAATGATACAAATCTGTGGGAGTAATATCAATACTATTGACAGCTCCGTAATTTTGCTGAAAAAATGACCGTTTAAGAAGGGGTGCTGCAAAAGTTAAATACGCATTATTTTCAACAACAAGGAATCCACATTTAACTAGATATGAAGCATCTGGATCCGAATTATTTATAGAGTAAGGAGCTTTTCCTTTTAAATAAACTTCCTCACATAATGATCTTTGTTTCTCAGTAAGTGAATCAGTTCTTGGTACAGCACGGCAGTTGATATAGACTGATGAATCAAAATCCTTTGAATTCAAGTACTTGAATATTGTTTCCCAGGTTAGGTTATTAGTATCAATTCGCTTCTTCATTGCATTTTCTATAGACTTCAAGATGTGACGAACCAAACCCACATGTCCTTCTGTTGCCGCTTGGATATATTCATATAATTTTGAGACGCTTTGTTGACCTAAATTTTTGAAGTAACTACTACTGATCTTTGCAATATATGTTCCTAATTCTTTCATGGTAAAATTGATGTCAATAAGATTTTTGCAATTTTCTTCCGGTAATGTGACAGGAGTTGTGAACCCTGTTTGGTTAGAACTTCTATATCCATAAGCAGCAAACATAATAATCTTTATATTTGCCATTTCTTGAAGGGCACTTTTAATAGTCAACCAGAATTGATCCGCAGAATCTAAATTATTTTCATCAATTTTTTTCTCCTTCCCATAAATCAATTGAACTTCATCTATTATCAAAATAGTTTCAATAAATCTGCACTGCCCTATCCAATCGATCCAATCTACACCCACAATCCGGTTCCAAAGCATATTAAATGAATCGAAGCATTTTTGCACCCCTACACTCTGTCCCCAAATCATTGAAACTCTTATAATCCTGCGATTTGAAAATTCTATTGCATGAACCAAGTTATTCTCCAAAATTTGGGCCATAGATGTTTTGCCGGAGAAGGGAGGCGCTCGAACAAGTATGACGTTTCTATCTTCAAAATCTTTGATCAAATGAGGTATGACATCAAATCTTAGACTGATGTCAGTGTCATTAATATTAATACCCTCATTGGTAGGTCTCACCCTCTGATCCATAGGTAGCCTCGTACCACCAAGGCCACCTGAAAAAGACTGATATTTAGAAATAGAACACTGATATTAATGAGTACCAACTTATACGTACCTTGTCGAGGCAGATAGCCAAAGTTTGCAATGACACGAGATATATCGGTGAGCCCTTGATCTAGTGCAAAGCAAGCAGAGACAAAGGTAATCAATACATCATTTAGAAAACAGAATAGCGAAATTATCTTTTTTCGAGAAATAAAAATTTAGGAGACACTTACCAGACGACGATGATGTGGATATAGTTATCCAGAAACTCATAATCGGTTGGGAATTCCGTTAAAAACTTCGTACTTGGGCTCAACTCATTACTGGGTTCAATGACTTTATGAAAGTTCTTGTTAAGTTCTTTCAAAGTTTCGTTATCTTCACTTAGAGGAGTTGCAAACTTCCATAGCTTCAGTTCGTTGGCTATGTTGTTGTTAGGCCATATCAGTTTCTTAAGATGCCCAAAATTTAATTTTTCAAGACGGACATCAACATTATCAACTTTGTTTACACTGCCAAGGTCAATCGGAATAGCACTTTTAATAGGAGTACCTAGAACGTAACAAAATAATGTAATGTCGGCCATATATCTGCAAACGCGAAATTGAGTTAAAAAACCAAAGTTCAACAAATTGAGTAAAGTACAAAATAAAGACCTTTTTTGGGACGGATTTAGCTTGGCAGGTAAGGAATTTTCATTAAAATAAGTTTGTACTGGGGATAAGAGACCTTTTGACCGAGACATTTTATATATTATCTACGCGCAGTTCTACTATTCGGAAAAATTAGTGTGGGTAAGCGAAACGAAATGAAATATTCTCGAGCATCACGCTTTACTAAGGTAAATTTATTTCATGTCTTGTAAAGTATAATTGACTCGACCAACTTTTGTTGATCTCCTCGATGTCTGCCATTTAGTAACGAACTTACTACACTTAATCTGAATAATGTTCTGAATGTTTGAGCGAAGTAACATCCTCGGAATGCTAAAAATAATGATTTTACTAAGTATACACCGTTAAAAAGATAAAGCCAAATGTGGGCGAACTTTATTAATATGCAGTAAATTTTATTACATAGAAGAGGTCACGATATCACGTGAATGACGCAGTAAATCTCGACATCGGAAAATGTTAGTTTGTCATGAATATCACATTCAAAGCATGCATGACGACATTTTTTTGATTACAACTGCCCATTTTTACACCCTATCTATTTTGTATGAAAATAAATAACGCCAACACAATAGTTGTCCATAAGCTTTGCCGCCCTAACAGTGACCTAGGTCACTTCAAAAAAAGGGAAATGACCTTGAAATTTGCCAACACTGCTTTGATAATTTGTTGCGTGAAAGAAAGCACATCGTGTAGTATTTGTCGAATTGGTATCGGCGACTTTCGTATTGTTACTTAAAATGTCATCTATTCCAGTAGCAATATCATATGATGAGGCGAACATTTGTGGACCCACCTATTCTATCGTAGCTGTTCCACTGAGTGCGTGGAAAGTTTGCATCATAAAAAACGTTATCAAAGGCCATCTGAATATTGGAATCCCATGGATTGAGAATCCATTCGTATAACCAATGATATAAAATCTGTTTAGACCATAGGGTATCTTCACACACACTATTACGGAGTTCATTTGCGGTTTCTTCCGTAAGACCCCATTCCACAAGTAATCTCTTATCATCACCTGAAGTAACACCACTTACACCAGTTCCCTCAAATGCCAACGAAGATTGTTGGATTCAGTCGGATAATGGGGTTCTTTTCCTGAAACTTCGAATAATGTTGATTCGTGTGCAGTTGATTCGGTCGATGGGGTTAATGAAGACATACTTAAAATTTTCTCTTCTTTGAATCATTAATTAGTGTTGTATGAGGGTTTAGAAGTGCTTATATAAAAACTATGTTTACCCATTATTTTCAGTTTGTCGAGATAGTACGAAATTCCATCAACGATAAGCTTCTTATATTGCCCAGCCTTTAAGTATAAAAAAATTCGTAAATAACAAAATCATACCTCTTAACAGCTAAAGGAATTTAACTCAAGCAGATTTATTACACCACGTGATTTATGTCATCCAAAAATAGTAGGAATCTAGATTACTGATATGGTTACACGAACACATTTTCTGTTGAAAGAGATAAAGCCTACCATTCATATTTTTTTTTTTCGTGTATCAATCAAGAAATACATTTATTTATTTTATCAAAAAAAAAAAAAAAAAAAAAATTTACATAGTTTAGTAATTTGTAAAGATTCAATGAGTGGTCCAAGAAATAGGTATGGTAGGCGTTCTCCCTACCAACACCGTCAGCACCAAACGCAATCGCATTTTCAACGCTCACACAGCCAGGAGAACAGAGGTACTATAGATTTTAATATTTAGATTAAATTTGATATATTACTAAATTATGTTTCTTCAAATTTAGAGTCTGTAAAACTTTCGCGCGTACACCAACTTCTTTCACGTATACGCGACGAAAGTGATACGGTTTATTCCAGGCGTCTATCACACGTGCATCAGCTTACTTCTCTATTGGCGGACCCTTGTTCAACTTGGGAAAAAATACAAATATTTGAAGCAGTTACTCGAATACAAGGAGGACTTGAAACAGTCTTTGAAGATATTAGGTAAATGGTTTTCATCAATCCTTTGATCAATTATGATGAATCTACCTAATTCCTTACTTGTTTTTCGTGACAGGGCACCAGTAAATTTCAAAACCGCCGTGGCAAAGTGCTTGGCCTTAATTGCTTTCAACTTAAATAATGAAATAAATACATATTTTCGTTGGTTACTTGAAAGGTTACAGATAGCCAATACGAATTCTATCGAAAGGGAAAAAGAACGTAAATTTTGGATATTGTTCTCCCTTAAAGAGGTAGAAACAAGGTCTTTTTATATTGTTTTAGTTATACTTTATATAATAAAATTGATAATTAATTTTACACATGATACATAAAGGTTCTCTCACGTAATGTTTCGGGAACTAGCTCTCAGAATACTTTGATTTCGGGACCTTTCCAACAATATATTCCTGGACTACTTCAAGATTTGGAAAGTTTACTCGACTCGATGGACAGTTCGGATTTCTTTCCGGGAATTTTAGAAGTTTTGGAAAAAATAGCGGAAAAGTATCCTCAAGAATTCGGAGATCGATTTAAGGTAAAAAATTATTATTATTATTATTTTTGAAAATTCTCTTCTTTCAATAAAAATATCTTAAATAATTATAATAATATGTTCTTCTAATAAATTTACAGGATGTAATTGATCTATTGGTTGGGTGGTACATTGATATATCAGTTTCGAACTCTCTTCATAGCCTGATTGCTGGTATAAAATTATTATTTATTTACTATGAACATAATATAATTGATTTGTGCTATTTAATATAATTTATATACTCTCTTATTTTTTCAGATACATTCAAAAAGTTACGACCTTTCTGGTCTCAATATTTAAATTTTGCATATGAGTTGATGAATCATTTTTTGGCAGACATGGAAGTTTTATCAGGTGTGACAGTGTCTCAAGAAGGACCTCAAATTGATAAACAATCAAAGACTGAAGGCGAGACAATGCCGAATCTTAAGGCGTTGTTAAGGTAAGCTAAAGATTATTTATTTTGAAAGATTTCAAATTAAGCGTTAATATTAAATTTACTTTCACTAGTTGTTTTCATGCAGTGGCCGATGCCGTTGGAACAATTTTACCACAAGTTACATTAGATGAGCTCGATGAAACAACAATTAGTGAGAACACGCACCCATATGATCGACTTCGCGCTTGGATTATCAAGTTCATATTGGTTATAGGAGAAATGTATATGGATATTGAATGGTTCGAAAAAGGTGCAAATTGCGTAATCATTTGTGATTGAATCAACTAAATATAATAGGAGTCCAAAAGTTTGTCTATAAATTTGACAGAGAAGTTTTTGACTTTTCATCCAGGAAATCAAATTATCCAAACATTGAGCATGTCGCGTAAACCATTGTTTATACAACATCAAATTCAAGCAGCAAAATTTTGGCTGTTACAAATTCAGGATGGTTTTCATATAAATATCTCAATACAAAGCGTAGATGAATGGTTTGATGGATTTCTTCAGGTTTTTCATCAATTTATTTTTAAAGAAAAGTACGTTTATATTTATTTAGGTTATAAACTTTGCTTATTTTTTTTAAAATATTGGCTACTTCTAGGTTCTTGTACAATGGATACCTTCTATTCATCCTGAGGTTATATATACCTTAATAAATCCAGACTCTGCTTTGATGAAACTTCGTTGGAATTCTTATGGCGCTCGTTTAAATTCTGACTTGCTGGATATGTTGCATATTGTTCTTCAAAATCAAGTTTCTGTCATTCCCCGATGTAAAACTAATGAAATGACTTTGATTCATCAAATAACGATTGAAATTGGTATTATGATGAGTTTAGTGTTTCGTTCGGATGGTTCATCGAGAATTTCTTCACATTTACATTGGAGGGATATTTTGAAGAGAAATGAATTTGATCATGATCACACTATTGTTCAATTTCTTGAAAGCTTACGATCTCTTTTAAATTCTACTGATAAGCCATTAAAGGACTGTTCATTAAACATTCGAACTGCTACTTCAATTCTCATCTTCGATATCAAAATTCTAACTGATATTGCATATTCATGGAATCATAATCGAGAGACATTTTGGGTCTTTTATGTGATGTTAAATAAGATCGGAGAGAGTGGTCAATTTGATGGTTTAGTTATGTGTACTTTGCTTAAGTCTTTACGTCAAGTGTGTCGAAGGTATAATATAGTTCATAAGTTATTTTGTATCTTTAATACATATATTAATTTCTTTTCATCGTCTTTATATAATAGTAAAGACTATTTTATGACCGAAATTAAAATTGATTCTTCGCTTCCTTCTACTTTTTGTGCAATGGTTACTACTCTCACTGTACTCTTGCGATATCCTAATGAATTTTCATCAAACGTTTTGGCTTTAGCACTTGATTGGTTTGAAGATATTTTGGAATTTTGTAGTGGTAAACAATTTCACATAAAAGAAATTAATGAAATAATTCGAAAGGAATTTGATAATATTATTTTTTCTTTGGTTATTACTGCAAGTAAGTCGAATTTTTCACAATACAATCTATTAATTCTGTCATATCATTTATTTTTTAATTAAATTGACAATTGATGTTACATTATAGGAGTTCTCAGAAATAATGATATTCGTCTTCAAATACCTAAAGTTATTTGTAATTACTTTGATGTGTTTGGATCTCTTAAATTCCATAAGAATTCTATGATCAAGGTTGCGCACAGGTTGATAAATTACATAAGTTAAAAATTCTTTGTAATGCGCTTTACATTTTACAAATTAATTTAATTTTTTTTATTTGAATGAAGGTTGTTTGATTCGGATATCAACGTACAAAGCGAATTTTCGAAGTTAATTAATTCTATTAATCCTCTTTATTGTACTTTTCGAATTGATCCTTTGATAGATCAATTTGTCGTAAATTTCAAAGTATGAGAGCTACTTTATATAATTTGTTATTATGATTATTATTCCTAGAATTTATGACGCGTATTTACTATTATTTTTACTTTTATTTTTTATTTAGAAAAATATTTCTTCAACACCTCATTTAGGCAATTTTAGACCACCACATTTTCAGATTGTAATGTCTCGTCTTGGCATGAATGAATTATTATCCTCTCAAGATGAAACAATTATCATAAGTGATGATACGTATGAAAAGGGTCAATGGCTGCTTCGATTATTTCATTCGTGTCAATCAATTGAGGGATTTGACAAAGAAAATCATATAGAAGATGAAGGAAATATGAAATATGGTAAATCTATTTGTTTGATATACACTTTAAAATTGTGTATAAACTTCTAATATTTTAAAAATCAATCTTATCAAATAAAAGTATATTCAGAAAGTGATATAGCCGGTACTATTGCAAACTCTAACGACCTCCTTACATTTTGGAGTCTTTGGGAAGTCGTTCGTTACTGTGTACTGTCTAGGTTACGAACACCGTTTGGAGGACCTAAACAAGTATTTCATATATTATAAAGTGAATTGTTAGCAATTTTGAGACACGCATTTATAATTTATAATATACATGAACTAGACATTTGACGCCTTTGAAAAGAGGCTAAATGACTTATTGATTCAAGATGTTGATATTCCCATATCCTATGGGCTCGATGAAACGAACATTCATGATAGGTATTTTAATGTAAACGTTTACTATAATGAAAAATCGGCCGTTTATTAATACATAATATTTTTAAGTATGCATAATTTAAATCAATTACGTGATTTATTGATCCTGATCGATCGCTTGGAACTTCAAATATACAATGCAGCAGTAGGAACTGCTCTTGGACGTTTGCCACAAGCTCCACGTGCAAGTATAATCTTTTTCAGAGCAAATCGAAAGGTTTGTGATGATTGGTTTTCTCGAATGAGGCCCAGCATTATAAATGGTTCCAAAATTATCGGTCATGATGTTATGGCCATTAGGCATGGTTTATTGGTAAATTCTCTTTTGACTTTGCATAATTTTCGTTAGACATATCGCATCGTACTTCTAATCAATATCGATCTACTTAGTCTCTCATGGAACGGGTTAACTTATTGAAACAAGGAGCAATTAAGAGTAGAATGACATGGATGATGGAATTCCAACAAATGTTAATGGATGTTGGTGAGTTTAAAGATAACACTGGCATTTTATAATTTTTTCGTTATCACTAATTATCATTACATTTCTTAGTTCAATGTCTTCAAAGAATACGTGCTGTTGATA